AAACTACATGTGTATATATATATATCTATATATATATATATAGATATATATATATATATACATTTTTTTTTTTTTTTGGTCAAACTCATGATAATATAATTGGATTTTATGTTTTACTTTGAACAGTTGCGTAGTTTAGCGAGGATTAATAAATCCTACATAAAAAATTTGAAAATCTAATTGAATGCAATATTTTCGTACTGTTTAGAAACTACTGTTTTGTTTTTATTTTTACTGTTCAGCTACACCACATAAGCCTTGAAGTGCAGAAACTTGACACTAGCCACATTTTAATATTCAATCAATGGTTTTGGGCACTTACAGCCACAAAAATTAGTGCAATTATTTTTCTAAATACACGTGTCCTTCCTTTTACATGCATTACTATGAGTACCAAATAATTTAAGTCATTATAAAGGAAACATGAAAACCGACTTAATTAGTGTCTTGCATGCATATACAGTATCTCCAAACTGTGGCCCAGGAAAACAATTGGTGGAACTAATTGGGATTTTGTGTGATCTTTGACCAGTTTATGAATGAAATAAATTCATTAAAGGCACAGGTGGTTAATGAATATTAAAATCTTAAAATGGAAAATGTGTCCTACAAGACAAATATTTTGTTATCATCAACTGAACGTAAACATTCTTTTGATTTTTAATTAAAGTTCATGAAATTAATTTAAGGAACTAGGCCAAAGATGTATCTATAAAGAGCGATTTTAATTCCGTTTTTGTTGCTGAGAAAAAAAACAATAAACAAAAATGATTACCAGCAAATTTGGAAATAGTCTTTCTATAAATAAGGCAAACGGGGAGACCTCCTTATTCAGACCTAACGCAGTTTACAGATAACACTAGATTGTTTATTCCATGGGAAGTTCAGTTTAATTAGAAAATATGCCTTTATGTTATTGCCGGACAGAGGAAATAAAAACTTTCAACCTGTCAGGTGGGGCTTGTGTATCAAAGAGTTTTGACATGTTTGCTGTTAGACTTTCAAACTATACAAGCAAGTTCATCTGCTGGTCCAAAAAATAAAAATATAAATAACGAGTTCTATGCCATAAATATTCAGTTTTACCACAACCTAAATGATAAGGAATTCAAAAAAATAAAGAAAAAGTATTTTCCCCAGTACTTTTCTGCAGTGTTTGGCCATAAATAAGTTAAAGTCTTTATTTGAAACAATATAAAAAAAATAAAAGAGGGATGTTAAAATGTCAATCTGAGTAAACATAAATAAATATAACAAAAATGTATTTATAACACATACTCTTTCCATGTCCTTAGGAAAAGGCCCCACACCATTCTCCAGGATGTTGAGGGGGGGTGGACCCCAGCGTCTTTTTGTGCGCTTTAAAACATCCTGCCCATTTTCCTGCAGGAAATAATAGTTATTACCATCAGTTCTATGACTATTTAGTGGATGGAAATAAAAAAAATTTAAAAAATGCAATATTCAGTGAAATTACATTTGTCTGCCTCTTTGCACTGCAAACAAGGTGAACTTCCATCTCACTTCCCGTCCCGCTTTTGTCCTGCGCCCTGACAGAAAATGTCCGCCCTCTGGTTGCTACAGAGACAGGACTCACTGCTACTATGATCCCGTTGCTCTGCACTGCAAAACTAGGATCCTCCACAGTTAGATGAAGTGTGTCAGGGTCACAGTCCACAGTTTCAACTAAAAAAATAGAATACAGAGAGGAGAAAGTCATTTTTAACCCCAAACCAAGCAAGATGCGTCAATAAAACAAACAAACAAATTATATATATATATATATATATATATATATATATATATATATATATATATATATATATATATATATATATATATATATAAGATGGAGGTACCTTTCATGAGTTGGTATCCAGCTGGAATGCTTTTTGGTGAATAGACATAATAAGAGTGGGGAATAAAACATGACTCCACACAGAAAAGGATCTGAGGGGAAAAAAACGCACAAAAGTAGTTCAGTTTCAACTGGCTTATCGCTCCACAGAGTCAGAGTCTCTTTTCGGGAAATTGAACTGACAAGCATTGACAGTTAGAAACGGATTAAATACATAAAAAAAAAAACACTTACCAGTAGCGAAAAGAGCGGATAAACTAAAACCTTTGTCATTTTGGAGTAAAGGTAGTCGGACTTTGTAACCGGAGTCCACCTGAAGTTGCTCTGCAGCTCAAATAGTGAAGTGGATCTCGCTTCTTATCGATATGTCACTAGTTCCTTTCTCCGTTTTTTTCTTTTTTTATTATAGGAGGGCGGACTTTATTCCTGCTGTGTTCAGCTTCTGATGGCACAGGGTCAAACAAACAGTCACACCTACAGGACACACCCTGAACAGAATGATCTTTCAGAGAGCACCTTAGGCTGGTGCAGCAAGGGCAGGGCAGCAATGCCTTCTGGAAGCTTATCTGGTTTTTTGGTTGTGTTTTTTTTTTTTTTTTGCGTTTTAAAATGTGTTTCTCGCCAACAGGGGGGACTCTAGCACCGGTTTTGCTTGTCTGAAGCCCCTCTCTAAAATAAATAAATAAATAAAAACATGACAAAACTGATACTACATAGAGGTAGTTAATTTAATCCCATTAAGTTAATTCAGTATTTGATTAAATAGGGCTATATTAACTCTAGATGTTTTGTTGTTTTTGTTTTCCTTTCTCAAATAAAGAAAAAAAAACATTAGTGGTTAGTGGTCTTTGTGGGCTTTACATATCTTAACTTCTGCTTGCTCCTCCTCTGCAGCTTCACTCAAACTTTCTGGCAAGGTTTAGTATCAATATGCCTGGATCCTCATTTAACGCCGCAGGAATGTGAGCCTAAATGGAGCCTGCTGTGGGGGAGGGTGTTTTCCCACCACAAAATGTTCACTATCTCTGTAAACAACTGATAAAAGTAAAGGGGCCATTGACATTGTTTAAAAGAAAACAGCTCCAGTGAGTTGACAGGGTTGCACAGGGTTGATCAGGACTGCAGGGGTGTGTGTGTGTGTGTCTGCGTGGCTGCAGGAGGAAGGGTGAAAAATCTCAGGAAGACAGTGCTGCTGTGAGTCATGGGTGTGGACATAATGAGAGGATCTGGAGCTGGGAGTCTGTACAACACACCGAGCAAATATCCTTTCTGGAGCCTGCCCCAGGGTGAACAGAAAGTTTGTTTTCACTGTGCTCAGTTTTCACTTTGTTTAACAAGCAAACAGTCTCCTGTTTGTGTGTCTTTTACGCGTCTCTTCCTATTTCATTTGCAATCATATAGACTGCTTTTATTATTTATTTCAAGGAATCCCGGAATTGGTTTCGGAAAAAAAGCCATCTGTAGTGAGGACTCACAATTACACACCACAATTTCAATCAGCACACCTGTTAAGGTGTTACTGTTAATGTTTCGGTGGGCGTGTCAGCTCTCCATAACGTCATGCTGTTTTAGAACACACGTTGGCATGACACTAGACACAGCGTGACATGAAAGGCTTCAAGACAGGGTGTACTTAATCACCTCGCTTACGAGCAATGAGTAATATTGTGACATCTCTAGTGACATCTGAAAATATTCATGCTCTGGGGAAAAAAAAAAAAAGACCAGCCCTTTACTGTTCTGTACCTGTTGCTTCAAGGCATGTGATGTATTTGGGAAAGCATCACACCCTTCAAACTTTCTACATTGGAACTCATTTATGACACAAACTTCAAGGAATCTTATGAAATTTAACTGAGTA